TCCTAACCATTGGATCAGCAAGGAGTTCCCCAGTCTATTTAAAAAAATTTTTTTTTCCCATTAAATTGTATTAAACTTTAATTTACTTATCTTCCTAATTGTTTATATTTCACTTTTTTAAAATGTTGATGTATTTGTAATCACTTTGTATTTCTGCTGTAGCAAATTACCGTAAACTTACTGATTCAAAGCAAAATAAATTGAGTATCTTATAGTTCTGGAGGCCAGAAATCCTGAACAGGCTTCACTGGCCTAGATAATGAGGTAATGGCAGGGCTGCCTGCCTTTTGGCAGCTGAAGAGAATCCATTCCCTTATTTTTCCAGTTGCTGGAGACTGCCTGTATTCTTTGGTTTATGTCTTCTTCATCTTCAAAGCCAGCAATAGTGGGTCAAGACTTTCTGATCTTTCATCATTCTGCCCCTGACTTTCCTGCTTCCATCTTTCTTATAAAGACTCTTGTGATTACCTTGGACCCACCCTGATAATCTAGGATAATCACCTCATCTCAAAATTCTTAATTTACCTACAGAGTTCCTTTTGCCAAGTCAAGAAACATACCCACAGGTTTTGAGTATCGGGAAGTGGACATCTTTAGGGGCTGTTAGCTGCCTACCAGCCTATTTGAATCTAAATGTAACTGTGCGGAGTATTCCTATTGACAGCATTTGTTTATGGTTCATTTTTAGTTTTAGAAGGTAGAAATAGGATTAGTTGGATGGTTTAAAATTAAACATAGATTTTCTCCAATTAGAGAAAGAGTTGTTCAATCACAGAACTCCTTTAAAAGGGGGTGATTTTTCACATATGTGTGTGTGTAGTTATTAAGCTCCTTTCTAGTGTGGAGATACTGGTTGACTAGTCAGTGATGTCAAGGAGATTGCTGAATTGTGTGGGAGACTAGATTAAATGGCTTAAGATTTTTCCTCCTAACTGTTAAGTTTTCTGGTTCTGTACTAAAGGTCACAAGAATGTAATAGGGTTCATCATAGAAATATATATATATATATACACACACACACAGAGTTTTCTTTATATAGATAGAGAAGAGATGGGGACTGATAGATGGATTGAATTTTAGGAATTGGCTCATGTGTTTATGGGGGCTGGCAAGTCTAAAATCAGTAGAGTAGGCCAGCAAGCTGGAAACTCAAGGAGGAGTTGCTGTGACAGTCTTAAGTTCAAACTCTGTGTGGAGGCCAAATTGCTTCTTCTTGAGAAAGTCTTTACTCTTAAGGCCTTCAGCTGATTAGATGAGGCCTACCTACATTTTAGTGGATAATCTGCTCTACTCAGTCTACTGATTTACGTGTTTAATCACATGCTAAAAAAATACTTAGTTTTGTAACACTGTCTAGACTGGTGTTTGAATAGACAACTGGTACATAGCACAAAATTAACCATCACACTGAGGTAGTTAGAAATTGACACTCAGACCTTCCAACTTCTTGACCACTATGCCTCTTGCTTTCTTTCTACTTGTATTGGATTTAGTTCCCACTGTTTCACTGCCTCTGTGTTCTTGATAAGAAGTAGCAGATAAAAATATAACTTTCCAAAATCCCTTTTGATGTTTATTTTCAGGTTTGCTTATAGTTTTGAATTTACCTTGGAGCTTCTTCTAATGTGCTTACTAAATATATTTAGTATTTTTTTCAGCCCCTAAACAGATTAATGAACCAGCTGCCTTTATGTAACTTCTTCAAAAATTATTTTAAAGTATATTTGGTGTTTCTTCTTTCTCTGAAATTATTATTGATGGTATAAATAAGAAAATAGATCTCAGAAAGAATAGGCATGAAAGAAATATTTGAATTCATTTTTACCCTCTTAGAGCCTATCTCCTATTATTTTCTTGGCCTGCAGGATTCAAAGTCTACTATAGTGGGAATGGACATCTAAAAAATTGCTTTTGATCACATATTTCTATACTAGTTTAATTGAAAATATTCATTTAAATTTGAAATGTTAATGATTATTCATATTAATCAGTTTCCTATTGTGAAGTCTTTCTTAATGTTAAGACAGGTTTCTTCTTTTCCTTTAAACTGGTTTAAGTTTTAGGAGATAAACAAGAAACCATTTTTAAAGAAATTTTGTTTATCTATTTTTGGCTGTACTGGGTCTTCGTTGCTGTGTGCGAACTTTCTTTAATTGCAGGCGGGGGATACTGTCTAGTTGTGGTATGCAGGCTTCTCATTGCAGTGGCTTCTCTTGTTGTGGACCACAGGCTATAGAGTGCACAGGCTTCAGTAGTTGCAGCGCATGGGTTCAGTATTGTGGCACATGGGCTTAGTTGCCCCATGGCATGTGGAATCTTCCTGAATCAGGGATTGAACTTGTGTCCCCTGTTTTGGCAGACAGATTCTTTACCACTGGACCACTGGGGAAGTCCAAAAACCCATTTTTAAAAAATGTTAATTAAGCTAACAATTATAAACTAATATTTACAAGTAAGTGGAATAGTATAGCTTATTAATTGACCAAGAACCTGGAGACCTGAATTCTAATCTTACTCCTCTTATGTATTAGTGCAGCTCTCATTTCCTGATCTATTATCTGTTTCTGGACTAGAGAGTCTGAGGCTGGCTGAGTCTCCTCTGGCTGTTATGTCTGTAATTGTGACTCCATGAAGGAAACACATGGGGAGAATTGATAAGGAACTATTTCTTAGAGTAAATGAAAGTAAACATTGGTGGCTAGAGATGCAGAAGGAAGAAATTTTAGAAAGGAAAACATGAAAAAAAGATGCTTGTGTTTTATTCTAGTTGAGGTCATTTTATATTCATTTGTTCACTTTTTGCACATATCTCATTTAATAAAACTGCTATTATTATTATTTCCATTTTGTAGGCATAGGTTCTGAAGTCTGATGAGGTCATTCTCTTTCCCCAAGTGGTACAAGTTTTGGCCTAAAGCCCATAGAATTACTGATTATTAGATTTTGAAATTCTTTTGATCCAACTGTTATCTTCTTTTCCTCTGTTCTTTCTATTATACCACCTTCAGTTTTTGGACAGTTTACATTGCTAGACAAACATCAAGTAATTCTTTGATATTTGACTTTTTATTACTTCTTGGTTTTCATAAAGTTATGGAATTAGAAATATATATTAATTGCACATCAGATTCTGTGACTTTTTAAAAGTGCAGATAATAGTATCTTTAGCTTAATTGAGAAAAGTTTTTGTTTTGCCTAGTGAAACTGGACTATAAGTATGTTTAAACTGATTAGGTCTTTAAAATGTGGAGTACTCCATGTTAATACAGAAAAATTCTAAAATCAATTATTTTCATCATGGAAATAAATTTCAGAAAGTATACATCTGCTTCAAAGTAAGGCCGCTTGTCAAATTTAGAAGCCTGTTCTCAAAATTGTTAAGCAGTGAAGAATGAGTATAAAGGGAAAGAGGTCTTTTCACCTCTCTCTATTTGACATTTTAAAATTTCAGTTAACACATTTTATAATGAATTTTTCAAAATAAATATTTCCTTCAAAATAGAAATTATCTTTTTTCCTATCAACTCTAACCTCATACTGGTCACTCAGACATGATTAATTGAGGGATGGGAATGGTAAGCAACTTTCTACCTTAAGATAGAAAGTATGAATTTAAAGTTTTCTCACCTTTCTCACCTGGTGGGGAAGCTTGTACATAGTCTGCAGCTCTGAAACAGGCCAGTTGTTCTGGGTCCATAGGAGCCTATAGGAAAAGAAAAATAGACTATATCATTGTAAGATAGACCAGAGTTTAAATCCTAGATCCTCTACCACTAGCTTAGTGAATTACTTAATCTCTCTAAGTCTATTTTCTATCTGTAAAATGGGGCTAATAATGCCTGCCTTACTAACTTTCATTTGGGGACAAGAGGAATTGAGATGTGGGAATATTGCATTGCAGCTCAGTGCCTGACACAAGTATATATTTAACAAATTAGAATAATAGCTGTAGTTTGTTTTACTTTTTATTGGGGTGTATTGGATTTACAGTGCTGTTTCAGGTGTGCAGCGGAGTGAATCAGATGTACACACACATGTATCCACTCTTGTTCCAGAGGCTTTTCCCACCTAGGTCATCACAGAGCACTGAGTAGAGCTCTCCGTGCTGTAGAGAGCTTCCCCTTGGTCTGTTTTACATGTAACAGTGTGAATGTGTCAGTCACAGTCTCCCCATTATCCCCCTCCTTTATCCCCTGGTAACCAAAGTTTGTCTTCTGCATCTGTGACTCTACTTCTGTTTTGTAACTAAGTTCATTTGTACTTTTTTTTGATTCCACATATAGGCAATTATCATAGGACATTTGTTTTTCTGTGTCTGACTTCACAAAGTAAACAATTTCTAGGCCCATCCATGTTGCCAAAAATGGCATTATTTTGTCAGTTTTTTAATAGTTCTACTTCTTATCTTATAATGTCTTGTTGTATAAATTTAAAGTATAAATTTACTGAGAATATGACTTTTGAAATTATTTAATAAATACTAGGTCACTGATGAACAGTCATACATGAAAAGATCTTTTACATATGTTAAATAGTATTTTATAGATGTTCTCATCTGGTTGCTTGGGTACATTTTAAAAGTGATTCTGTGCAAGAATACTATACTGCTAGTATACACAGTATATTTGAAGAATAATAGTGTGTGTTTATTTCAAAATTACTCTTGTGGTTTATCTTCTAAGTTTTAATATATCAATCAAAAATTAATTAAGAAATAATAAAGAGTGTTTAGTGTTTGGAAATAGTAATCAATAAACTTGTTTTTAAGGATACATCACACTTTTTGGAGAGAGATACTTTTCAAATAATATTTTTAGTCTATAGGAGAGTAAGATTGCTATTTTACAAAGCTCTTGTTTCTACTTAGATTTTCAGAAACATGTATCTTTTACTAATAACCATAGTATACCAGTACTAGATTCTATGTAAATGTGTTAACTTGTCCTTTTGGAAGACTGTTTTTTCCTCCACTCATGGTTATATTGTACATTTCTTTCTAGAGCATGAAGGGGAAAAGCAAAAGTAGTCATGACTTGCTTAAGGATGATCCACATCTCAGTTCTGTTCCAGCTGTTGAAAGGTTAGTATAGTGCTAAGCTCTTATTTTTTGGCTCAGATAATTTTCTGGCTCCCTTTGTGAGTAAGCAGTCAGTTCTCATAAGTCAAATTTTGTCAGCCCAACCAAAAACCTAAAGCATTTTGGTAATAGGGCTAATAGAGCTACTAGCATAATGGAGAATCACTCTAATCACATTCACTCTCTTGCTATCTATTTATCTTTGTTGAGCTAATTAAATTCAAAGTTAATCTGTTAAACTTTTAAATCTTGGGATAGTTTGAACACTAGAGAGCTGTCTGCTTTAATGAGTCAATGTTTAATTCAAAGTTTTTTTACTAACCTTCTTCTTGAATCATTTTTGTCTCAGAATCATGAGTAAGCAAATCAGATTTGAAGAGTTTTGTGAGGAAATCACCACATTTTGGACCAGTTCACTGAGTATTACATATTCACTGAGTATTCCTTACATTTTTCAGACGTTACCAGAAAACTGTCTTACTGTTTTTGTTGCTTCTCTTTGGTATGGGAAAATGTCTGACTGTTAAATGTTAATTGTATGTGATTTACTGGACCAATGTCTGCAAGGGGGACTAAAATACTGTGATACTGAGTTTAGCTCATTTTCAGAAATTCTATATTGAAACAATCTCTTCTTAACGTACTTGTATTTGAAGGACTTGTCTTCTTCATCCTGAAGACATCAAACCAATAGAAGAAATTAAATTCTGCAGCCTTTTGTTAATAAAAATAGCACTATTGGTTATTTGCTTTTTTTAAAAAAAATTCTAGTGAATTTGTATTTGTGCTAATGGAGCATACCGTCTATTCTATTTATAAAAACAACTTCCTTTTAGAATGTTTCTCTTTGCTCTATGTTGCCATTCTGAAATTCCTGGGTTGAAGTATTTTTGAGTTATTAATCACAGCAAAATATTCTAACTTTTTGGATAATTGAATCATTTTGCTAGTTTCATTTTGAAGCTAAAATTTGTTTTTCTTATTTTTTGTAGTGGAAAAGGGGATGCAGCAGAGGATTCAGATGATGTGAGTATTAATTTTAGTATAAATATAGTTGAACAGTTTATAGAAAATTCAAAATCTTTACAAATGATTATTTTTCCTAAAAGGTATTATATATTATCTTTTATACATATATAAAATTTTGAAAAAATTTTGAAAGCTTTGAAAAATAAGTTATGTATTTCAATATTGGAATTTTCCTTCATAGTATATTCATATATTTGTTTTCCTACAAAATCAGAATCTTATATATGAATTTCTAGCCTGTTTTTTCTCCATCTCACATAACATTACATGAATACTCAAAATTTAGATGTCATTGATTTTGTTTTATTATGATAAGTTTAAATGTTGATGCGTGACATCCTACATGATATATGGGAAATGCTTGGATCAGTCATTTATGGTAGTTTCCTTCTTCATACACACATTTCAGAACATTCTTTCTTAAAACTGTCTTGACGTTTCTGCATTACTTGTACTGGGTATTAGAGCTGATAAGGCAGGATTTCCTTTATGTGTGAGAGATCAAGTGTTTCAAATCATTCATTTGCCACTTGATATAAAAACTCATTGATCTGTGCATTGTACAGAAGGAAACACATAACTGTCCATGCAAGAACACAGCTTCATCTATTATCATACTCAGAAGACAGCATTTTCTCTATGTATAATAGAGAAAGAATGACTATCTAACCTTTTGGGAAGAGATGATGCTGTGATGTGTCTTATAGGAGAATTAGGAGTTAACTAGATCAAAAAAGAAGCTGGTAAGGGGTGGGATGCCTCTAGCTTAGAGAACAGCATATGCTAACACTTGGTAGCAAGGAGAGAGCATATCTTCTTTAGGAAGTACCCACTAAGGTTAAAGTTTGAGGAGCCTCACTGTGAGGAGCAGGAAGGAAGAGGGTAAGAGGGAGCTACATCTGCAAAAGCCTCTGAAGCAGGAGACAGTTTGTTGTGTTTCAGGAGCTGAAAGCAGACCAAAGTGACCAGAGCTTAGTGACGGGGGGAGAGTGGTGAGGTTGGAGAGGTGGGGAGAAGTCAAGGAGTAGAGAGCTTCATAGACTATGGTGAGGAGTTTAAATTTCATTCTAAAAGTGATGAGGAGCAGTTGAAGGGCATTAGTGAAAAAGATGAGTGCTGTGGTCAGCTTTGCATTTTAGGAAGATCCCTGTTGGCAGTGTTAAAGAGGACAAATTAGAAGAAATAGGCAGGAGTCAAGGAGAACTGTCAGGGAGCTATCTTGAGGGGAGAAAGAAAGAAAGTGAAGCCAGTCAGTCGTGTCCGACTCTTTGCAACCCCATGGACTGTAGCCTACCATGCTCCTCCATCCATGGGATTTTCCGGGCAAGAGTACTGGAGTGAGTTGCCATTTCCTTCTCCAGAGCATCTTCCCGACCCAGGGATTAGGAACCCGGGTCTCCGGCATTGTGGGCAGACACTTTACCGTCTGAGCCACCAGGGAAGTCCTGTTGAGAGGAGAGCTGATGGAAAGTCACATCTCATCACAGTGAGATGGGAGAGAGACAGACTTGAAAGAGGTCTAAGAGGTGACTTATTCTCAGGGAGACAACCATAAGATTTCTGATTTGGGCAGCTTATTAGATGGGTACAAAAGACAGATAGGGAGAATGATGAAAAATAATGTGCTTAATAATGTACATTTTGTGATTCAGATGACTTGGAGACATCCATGTAATATTAATACGGATCTGGAAGGTGGGACCAAGGCCTGATGTAAAATTATCCATACGTTCTTATGGTCTTGGTGGGGGTGAGGTCACCTAAGGATAGTGTATGATCCTTAACCTGTTTAGTGTTCCAGGATCCTTTGCAGTCACTAAAACGGTGGACCTCTGTCCCAGGAGACTCTGCATCCACAAACGAAATATTACTAATTTGCATGGCATTTTTTTCTATCTCCTGAGGACCGTGCGTGGAAGACCTAGGTCAATGGTTATGAAATTTTAAAGCTAAAGAAAGTCTTAAACATCTCACTGAAAACACTCACAATTTCTATCTGCAGAGATTAGAAACAACCCACATTTTATAGCCTGAGAACCACTGCCCTAGAGTCCATAGGCCTCAAGTTAAGAATCCTGCCTCACCATGACTCACCTGGTCAGAGAATCACAAGAGAAAAAGATCAACTTGGGTAGTTTCTTCCTTCTTCTCTACCCTCTTCCTTCCTTCTCTCTTCCTTTTTCTCTCCATTCCTCTCTCTATTAATCCAGGGAGCTATTCTGAAAGTTTTCAGTTTAGCAATAAGCACAACAGTCCAGAATTTTAGCTCTTACGGAGTCCTTCCTCTGATTATTGAAGACAACAATCATATAAATAATTAAAATATATAGTATGTCAAATGAGTTATAAATGTTTTGAGGAAAAACAAAACGGGGAAGGGGAATAGAGACCACAGTGGGTGAGCGTATGTTTCTGCCATTTTACTAGGGTGATCAAGAGAAGGAGCACTGAGAGCGTAACATTTGACCAGAGACCTGAAGCAGATGAAAGAGTGAGCAACGCAGATTCATAAAATAAGAGTTTCAGGTTGGAAGGAAGAGCAGCTCCAGAGTTGGCTGTGTTGCTGGCCCGGAATTGTAGGAGATTATGCCAAGGAGGCACAGATTGTATAGTGTCTTGGGTAGAGTTGGGGACTCATTGCAGGGCTTTGAGGGAGGAGTGATTGCTGTGTCTTAGTTTGTAGGAGGAATTACCAGCTTCTTTACCTCCACCTCTTTTACTTGCATTAATACATGGGTCAGTATGCTAGCCAGGTGCCTCCAGAAGCCACCTTGCTTACTGGGGAAGAACAAGAATGTACAACAGATCGACACAGAAGTCTGGGTGATCAGCGGGAGCACAGTCTGCTGCACAGAGGGACTGGTTATGGATTGAGCAACAACCCTTGCTGGGCTATGGCATGCTCAGAGCAGACCCCATTGGGTATTCCCACCTGTAGCAGATTCTTTGAGTCCTTACTAGTTCAAAATGAAACAAACAAAAAAAACCTGGCGTAAAATGCAGTGAGAAGAGCCTGAGATAAACCTCTGGAAGCGAAAGGAGATAATGGAATGCCCAGTAAATACTACATTTCAATTTTTACAGGATGGAGAATATGAAGGTGCAGAGCATGATGAATATGTTGATGGTGATGAGAAGAACCAGATGAGAGAAAGAATTGCAAAAAAGTTAAAAAAGGACACAAGTGAGAATGTTAAGACAGCTGGAGAGAGTGAAGTGGAGAAGAAATCAGTTAGCCGCAGGTGAGTCAAGCACTTGAAATATCAGAGTTTGTGTCTTTTATACTTCATTTAAAACTACGATTGAGTCCTCTATTCAACTTACTTTCTAAAATATTTTTTTCATAATGTTTGATATATATACCAGTAGCCCACTCAGAGGCCTAAAAGAAAATAGACCAATTTTATTTACATCAATGGTCGTAAAAATTCTGCTTTATTTCTCTTTGATCTCTTCTTTAAAAACCTCTAAGTTTTTTTTTTATATTTGAGGTAAGCAAAATATTAGCTATATGTGAAAGACTGTATTTGTTTAAAACAAACAAGCGAAGTCAAGTCATTATACAGAACAAAAAGATGTCCTCAGATTTAGAAGAGTAAAATTTGTCAAAAATGGCTAAGAAGGGTGTAGGCCTGAAAATACTCTTAAATATTTTTTCTAGTCTGATTTATACTGTCTGCCCCTCCTAATCTTGGTGGTATAATAAAATAAATCTCAGCATATGTCTCATTTTAAAGACTTGTTGAATTTTGTGACTCAACATTTTATTCTCCTGAAATTCAGCTTAATTGAAAACTCTCCTTTATAATTCTGTTATTACAACTTTGTTACACATATAAAATAATATAGCTTTAAAAAATGGTAGCATTTTTTTTCTTTGAATGACCTACAATTAGAGGTAAGATAGTTATAACTCCGTATAAGCAACATTGTTTTATTCTATTATGCTTCTCAACCTCATACAGAAAAACTAAAAAAGCATTTTCATATTACCATCACTTAGATCTCTAAATTTTTTCTTTATGTAACCAGAAAAGTACTTCTCCAGAAATTTCCACTGATAGTATAACCTTTTGCATTCAGAAATGGCACTAGAAGTTGTCTTTAAATATCTTTTTCTGGCAACATTCACCTGATGCTCAAATAATCATTGTTGAATAATTTAATTATCTTTGGGCCACTATTGGATGAAGATTTTAGTGGTCATATAAGCGTGGAGTTGACGGGCCTCTTATCAGTTCGAACTCTTAGATCATGAATATAATCGAGAATACTTCATTTCTCTCTCTTACTCAGGAGATGCATTTCCTGATTTTTTAGTTCATTTCAGTCCAGTCTCTCAGTCATGTCCAACTCATTGCAACCCCATAGCATGCAGCACGGTAGGCTTCTCTATCCATCACCAACTCCTGGAGCTTGCTCAAACTCATGTCCATCGAGTCAGTGATGCCATCCAACCATCTCATCCTCTCATCCCCTTCTCCTCCCACCTTCAATCTTTCCCAGCATCAGGGTCTTTTCCAGTGAGTCAGTTCTTTTCATCAGTGGCCTAAGTACCAGAGCTCCAACTTCAGCATCAGTCCTTCCAATGAATATTCAGGACCTGTTTCCTTTAGGACCGACTGGTTTGATCTTGCAGTCCAAGGACTCTCAAGAGTCTTCTGCAACACCACAGTTCAAAAGCATCAGTTCTTTGATGCTCAGCTTTCTTTCTGGTCCAACTCTCACATCCAACATGACTACTGGAAAAACCATACCTTTGACTCGACAGACCTTTGTTGGCAAAGTAATGTCTCTGCTTTTTAATATGCTCTCTAGAATGGTCATAGCTTTTCTTCCAAGGAGCAAGTGTCTTTTAATTTCATGGCTTCAATCACCATCTGCAGTGGTTTTGGAGCTCAAGAAAATAAAGTCTTTCACCATTTCCATTGCTTCCCCATCTATTTGCCTAGAAGTGATGGGACCGTATGCCATGATCTGTGTTTTTTGAATGTTGAGATTTAAGCCAGCTTTTTCACTCTCTTTCACTTTCATCAAGAGATTCTTTAGTTCCTCTTCGCTTTCTGCCATAAGGGTGGTGTCATCTGCATATCTGAGAATATTGATATTTCTCCCAGCAGTCTTGATTCCAGCTTGTGCTTCATCCAGCCCAGCATTTCTCATGATGTACTCTGTATATAAGTTAAATAAGCAGGGTGACAATATACCGCCTTGACATACTTGTTTCCCAATTTGGAACAAGTCCGTTGTTCCATGTCAGGTTCTAACCGTTGCTTCCTGATCTGCATACAGATTTCTCAGGAGTCAGGTAAGGTGGTCTGGTACCCATATCTCTTTAAGAATTTTCCACAGTTTATTGTGATCCACACAGTCAAAAGCTTTAGCATAGTCAATGATGCAAAAGTAGATGTTTTTCTGGAACTCTCTTGCTTTTTCTGTGATCCAGCAGGTGTTTGCAATTTGATCTCTGGTTACTCTGCCTTTTCTAAATCCAACTTGAACATATGCAAGTTCTCAGTTCACATACTGTTGAAGCCTAGCTTGGAGAACTTTGAGCTTTACTTTGCTAGCGTGTGAGATGAGTGCAATTGTGCAGAAGTTTGAGCATTCTTTGGCATTGCCTTTCTTTGGGATTGGAATGAAAACTGACCTTTTCCAGTCCTGTGGCAATTTTCCAAATTTGCTGGCATATTGAATGCAGTACTTTCACAGCATCGTCTTTTAGGATTTGAAATAGATCAACTGGAATTCCATCACCTTCACTAGCTTTGTTCGGAGTGATGCTTCCTAAGGTCCACTTGACTTCACACTCCAGCATGTCTGGCTCTAGGTGGGTGATCACACCATTGTGATTATCTGGGTCATGAAGATCTTTTTTGTATAGTTCTTCTATGTATTCTTGCCACCTTTTCTTAATATCTTCTGCTTCTGTTAGGTCTATCCCATTTCTGTCCTTAATTGAGCCCATCTTTGCATGAAATATTCCCTTGGTATCTCTGATTTTCTTGAAGAAATCTCTAATCTTTCCCGTTCTATTGTTTTCCTCTATTTCTTTGCATTGATCACTTAGGAAGGCTGTCTTATCTCTCCCTGCTGTTCAGTGGAACTCTGCATTCAGATGGGTGTATCTTTCCTTTTCTCTTTTGCCTTTCCCTTTTCTTCTCAGCTATTTGTAGGGCCTTCTCAGACAACCATTTTGCCTTCTTGCACTTCTTTTTCTTAGGGAGGTTTTGATCACGGCCTCCTGTACAGCGTTAGGAACCTCCATCCATAGTTCTTTAGGCACTCTGTTTATGAATCTATTTCTCACTTCTACTGTAAGGGATTTGATTTAGGTCATACCTGAATGGTCTAGTGGTTTTCCCTACTTTCTTCAATTTAAGTCTGAATTTTGCAATTTAAACCTGATTTCTAAAAGATTAGCTTTCTAATGTGACAAAAAATACATTTTGAGTTTTTAATAGGTGAACCAAATATTGGTCATGTGTAAGTGCTTGTTAAGTCCTCAACTCTGTCTCGTTGGCCTTAATACAATTTTAAATACTTACATACTCTATAATTAATATAACTTTAAGTTTAACAAAGCTGAATTTTCTACAAGAATAAATAAAACTTATTGTAAAACTTGCCATAGTAAATACAAAACATGTATTTATAACTGTTCTCTTTCCCCAAGTTTTCAGTATTCACATCCTCCTTTCTCCCTCTTTTATCCTCCTTCTTGTACCCTACAAAGAGAAATGAAAGAAAAATAAGGCGGTCAGGACAAAGTACAGAATTTCAAAGAGAAAATACAGTTTTTCTCTCTTGTCTAGAAATGTCCATGATTGTCTCATGACCACTTATTTTGAGTGGAAAAAAATTTCAAAATCATTTGAGGTTTTGGTCAGCTATAGTTTGTCTCAAGTTAATTTTATGTTAAAAGAAAAAGAAACTTCTAAGAGTCTTTAAAAATTGTGGTTAAAAAATGGATAATTGTATTTATTAATAAAAGAAAATCACTGCTCAGTCTAAGTTAAATTGTAGGGGCTATAGATAGTTGCCAACCCTGTAGGATGTCAATGTGAAACCATTATCGATTCAAAAATCAATTCTTTTGGTATATACAAAGTTTTCACGTGGATGTGTTTGAAGTACTCTGTTATCCTTCAGTCGTTTTCTGATTTGAGCAGTATGATCAAGGACTAGACTAGCCTTGATCAACTTTTTATGCTAGAGCCGTTCAAAGTGTGATTTTACTGAAAATTTGTGGTAAAGAAACATCTGGAATCTGTTAAAGCTGTTTATCACTTTGGATGGTAAACCTACAAGCGTGTTTCTTGAGTACTTAATATTTAAGTTGGGGAGTGATATTTCACAATATAACTTTTAGCAGATTTACAGAGTGGAATATTTTCCTAATTGTTCCGTTGAAAAATACTTATGGGTTCAAGAGGGGAAAAGAATCCAAAGCTCTCCTAATCTCCTCTCCTTTCTTCTCTTTCGTGTACTTATTCTGACTTGAGGATCTCTGTCTCTCGCTTCCTTCCTTTTCTCAGTGTATAGTGTCACTCTTTCTTATCCAGCCCGCCTCTAAGGCTTTCTCTAAGCCTCTGCCTTGGCTCCTGAATGCTGCTGAGCAGAACCACACAGCCAGGGGCAAGTCTAGCCTCAGCCGTGCCTCCAGTGCATCTTCATCACCCCGCCCCTGGTGCACCCCTTTAACCTCGGGTTCACGCGCTCTCATCAGATCCCCTGGCTTTCTGCTCTGTGAAACGGGAGTACCTTCTTCAACTTTTCCATTTGTTCAGATCAATTCTAATCTCCTCCTCTTCTACTGTAAAGGTGGGAATCCCTCTACCCATTGAAAATGATTCCATCCTCCTCCCTTTGTTTTTAGTTTTCTCTCACTCTTGCCTTTCCTTCACCTTATGGATAGACTTAAGGAGTGGAAAAAAGAAAACCACTTAAATTTTATTTCCTGTCCCCACCATCTTAGTTCCCATATATTTCTAAATACACATCACTCAGCTTTTCCTTCATCACTCTCCTGAAACTACTCTTCCTGAGGTCATGTATTGGACACATCTAGTGACTACTTTCCAGTTGTTGTTTTTCCTAGTGTCTCTGTTGTGGAATTTGGCAGTTTTTGCTTTTTCACTCTTAAAAACCATCCTCCTCACAAAACTTGCTACTTAAATTGTGTTTCACTTGGAATCTTTATAGAGATGCTAAGTTTCAAGCCCCACCTCACACTTTTTGA